CGATGACGATCCCCGGACTCCGATCCAGCAGAATGTCGGGGAAGAGTTCTGTCAGCACGACGGTGTGGTGATGATCTTGATGTTCTACCGTCGCAGGGCTTCGCCTAAGCACCGCTACAATATTACCGAGGATTATGGTGGAAGGGGGCACCGCACACGGCTAAGAGATCAATGATCAATTGTTGTGTCTATGGGGTGCCCCTGCCCCCGTATATAAAGGAGCAAGGGGGGAGGCGGCCGGCCTAGGAGGAGGGCGCGCCAAGGGGGGAGTCCTACTCCCACCGGGAGTAGGACTCCTCCTTCCCTTGTTGGAGTAGGAGAGAAGGAAAGAGGGGGAGAGGAACAAGGAAAAGGGGGCTGCACCCCTTGTCCAATTCGGACCAGAGGGGGGGGGCGCCTCCTTCCTTTTGGCCTCTCTCCTCTATTCCCGTATGGCCCAATAAGGCCCATATACTCCCCGGCGAATTCCCGTAACTCTCCGGTACTCCAAAAAATACCCGAACCACTCGGAACCTTTCCGATGTCCGAATATAGTCGTCCAATATATATCGATCTTTACGTCTCGACCATTTCGAGACTCCTCATCATGTCCCCGATCTCATCCGGGACTCCGAACTCCTTCGATACATCAAAACTCATAAACTCATAATATAGCTGTCATCGAAACCTTAAGCGTGCGAACCCTACGGGTTCGAGAATAATGTAGACATGACCGAGACACGTCTCCGGTCAATAACCAATAGCGGAACCTGGATGCTCATATTGGCTCCCACATATTCTACGAAGATCTTTATCGGTCAAACTGCATAACAACATACGTTGTTCCCTTTGTCATCGGTATGTTACTTACCTGAGATTCGATCGTCGGTATCTCAATGCCTAGTTCAATCTCGTTACCGGCAAGTCTCTTTACTCGTTCTATAATACATCATCTCGCAACTAACTCATTAGTTGCAATGCTTGCAAGGCTTTAGGTGATGTGCATTACTGAGAGGGCCCAGAGATACCTCTCCGACAATCGGAGTGACAAATCCTAATCTCGAAATACGCTAACCCAACAAGTACCTTCGGAGACACCTGTAGAGCACCTTTATAATCACCCAGTTACGTTGTGACGTTTGGTAGCACACAAAGTATTCCTCTGGTAAACGGGAGTTGCATAATCTCATAGTCATAGGAACATGTATAAGTCATGAAGAAAGCAATAGCAACAAACTAAACGATCAAGTGCTAAGCTAACGGAATGGGTCAAGTCAATCACATCATTCTCCTAATGATGTGATCCCGTTAATCAAATGACAACTCATGTCTATGGTTAGGAAACATAACCATCTTTGATTCAACGAGCTAGTCAGGTAGAGGCATACTAGTGACACTCTGTTTGTCTATGTATTCACACATGTATTATGTTTCCAGTTAATACAATTCTAGCATGAATAATAAACATTTATCATGATATAAGGAAATAAATAATAACTTTATTATTGCCTCTAGGGCATATTTCCTTCAATTCCCCCTTTTATCTTCCTTTGAGGGCTTCGGGCAGGGTGCTAGCTCGAGCATCTTTTCCAGTACCGGATTCTCCAAACCCTCAGGAAGGGGGGTCGAATACCGAATCATCTTCGCCTTTGTTAGCCAGTCCTGGTCAAAGAGCGACTTCTTAGAATGACGTCATGGTAAATAAAAGACGGTGTGTTCGGCTAAAGGATTACTTACTTGGTCGGCGGTACGGTTGCTCCTCAGGCCCACGTCCTCGGTAGTATCCGGAGACTCTATTTCGGGTCCGAGGAATGATTTGTACATCTCCTCGTGCGTCAGGCCGAGGAAATTCTGAATAGTACGCGACCCTTCTGGGTTGAACTCCCACATGCGGAGGGGCCAACGTTTGCAAGGTTGGACTCGATGAACCAGCAGGACTTGCGCCACAATAACCAGACTGAAATCTCCTTCGAAGAGATCGCGAATGCGGCTCTGCAGTATAGGCACGTCCTTGGCTGGACCCCAGCTCAGTCCTCTGCTAATCCATGACATCAGTTGTGGTGGAGGGCCCGAGCGGAAAGCAGGGGCAGCCACCCACTTGGCACTTCTGAAAGTTGTGATGTAAAACCACTCCTGTTGCCATAATCCGGACACCTCTAGAAAGGAACCTTTGGGCCACGGAGCTCCTGCTATCTTGCTTATTAATGCGCCTCCGCACGCTGCATACTGCCCCTCGACCATCTTCGGCTTCACGTCAAAGGTCTTGATCCATAGGCCGAAGTGAGGGGTAATGCGGAGGAAGGCCTCACACACGATAATGAATGTCGAGATGTGGAGAAAGGAGTCCGGGGCTAGATCGTGGAAATCTAGCCCGTAATAGAACATCAAACCCCTAACAAAGGGATCCAGGGTGAGGCCTAGACCTCGGAGGAAGTGGGAGATGAACACAACGTTCTCGTTGGGTTCAGGAGTAGGGACGACCTGCCCTCGGGAAGGTAGCCGATGCGAAACCTCGGCGGTCAGGTATTTGGCCTCCCTCAACTTCTTGATATCCTCTTCCGTAACGGAGGAGGGCATCCACCGGCCTTGAAGGCTAGATCCGGACATGATTGAAGGTCCGAAGCACCTGACATGGGCTTTGGGTGTTAGAACTCGAGGTGGGGGAAGGATTCGATTGAGCACGGGAGGGAAAAAAGTAAAGGCATTGCCCCTTTATAAAGAGGGTGAATATCAAGCGTCCTCTCCGTAGCCGTTTGGGACTTGCCTATAATCTAGGGGTCCTAGACACGGTTGGGTTACCCACGACTATATTAATGAGAATCCCGTAATTAGGGGGACACGATCTCTGCTTTGACAAGACGTGTCAAAAAACTGCCTCGCGTTATGTGCGGGGCTAGTTAAAGGAAACGGTTCGAATAATCACCGGGCCGTGACGTAATGTCGTGTTGCCAAAACAAGTCAGCAAATTGGATTTGTGGAAATATTATTCTCTATATGGTGGTATGTGGAACTTATTTTGCAGGGTCGGACACAATCCTTATATTCAAATTCTTCCGTGGTATATTCGGAGGAGGAACCCGCCTTGCAATGCCGAAGACAATACTACGCGCCGGACTCATCGTCATTGAAAGCCTGGTTCAGGGGCTACTGTGGGAGTCCTGGATTAGGGGGTCTCCGGATAGCCGGACTATATCCATTGGCCGGACTGTTAGACTATGAAGATACAGGATTGAAGACTTCGTCTCGTGTCCGGATGGGACTCTACTTGGCGTGAAAGGCAAGCTAGGCAATACGGATATGTGTATCTCCTCCTTTGTAACCAACCTTGTGTAACCCTAACCTCTCCGGTGTCTATATAAACCGGAGGGTTTTAGTCTGTAGGACAACATACAATCATACCATAGGCTAGCTTCTAGGGTTTAGCCTCTCTGATCTCGTGGTAGATCTACTTTTGTACTACCCATATCATCAATATTAATCAAGCAGGACGTAGGGTTTTACCTCCATCAAGAGAGTCCGAACCTGGGTAAAACATCGTGTCTCCTACCTCCTGTTACCATCCGCCTTAGACGCACAGTTTGAGACCCCCTACCCGAGATCCGCCGGTTTTGACACCGACACCCGCCATGCCGAAGACGGCCGAAAATTGCCGGAGGTGAGCTTGGATGGTGGAGGGGAGTGAAACGAAGTGGCTAGGGTTTGATCCGATGGGCGAATGGGGAGAAATATAAGTGGGTCGGATAAGCCAGCATGGGCCGGATCCGACGTGGCGGTGTGCCCCCATATCCGCCCTATATTTGGGCTGGATATGTGGGGTGTCGGTCAGTCCGAGCGTTTGAGGCGTCCGGCTGGATCAAAATTTCATGGCCGGTCAGGGCCCGGGCAGTCTGCCCGGATGGTTGTGAAGGGTTTGGGGTGCCCGGCTGCAGATGCTCTAAAAATCTTGTTTGATGACAAATAAAAATATATTTTTCGGATAAGATGTTTATAAGAACTACGAAAAGTAGTCAGCGGACTTCCTCTAAACTATACAGACATCCTACAAGATGAATTTGAAATTTACGAAAATGTTCTACACGAGCTATCGGAAATGTTCTAATTGGGTACAACCAAAGATGTGTTGGTTGATTCAATTGAGTAGGTTGAAAATGGTTGTATGAACACTTAATAATTTGGGTAATAAACATGGTTTGAAAGGAAAGAATGACCAAAACAACTTGGAAAAACCTTCCTCCCCTCAATCTTCGCCGGCGAGACATGGATTCATCTCCCCTCCGCCCACCGCTCCGGTGACCGATGGCCGGTGGCGGGGAAGAGAATCCTGGTGTCTTGACTCCTGCTAATAGATAGGTAGGATTTTAGTCCTCGTAGGGGCGGCGCTCCTTCTTTAAGTCTGTCTTCTGGACTCCAATCTTCCTCAAATTTGTCCATTGGGATGGATTAGACGGCCCTCCGACGTAGATTCATACCAGCTCCTTGGGGCGGTGAGGTTAAGGTTTCTCGCTGTGCGTACACAACGGCGATATTGGTGTCAGGTTTTTCAGATTGATTCAAGGATTCAACGACGACCACTATGGCTCCAGTGCGTTGGTCCTTAGGGGCACGTGCACGAAGACTTCCCTCGACAAGGTCGGGGCCGGCTCCGGTACGGGAGCGGCGACAACGGCGGCTCGTTCTGACGGCGACAATGGTCGTTTGATGATCCATGGATCTCAATGTAATTTTTATTATGTTTGAGGAATTTGTAGTTCTGCTGAATTTTTATAATAGATCTTATTCTTTCCGAAAAAAAGAAAAAAAAAGTCGTTCCTGTGCAATTTGGTACTAAAAGAGAAGAAGAAGAAAACATAGTCTTTTTCTGTGTGTTTTACAGTATATTAGAGGAAAAAAACACTTGCTACCTGTGCAGTGACAGAATCACAAAAAATACAGCTCTCTGCGCACTCGTCCATTCGGCGACTAGTCGACGCAGCTGACGCCACCACGCGGCGGCGGCGCTTGTTCCCATCGCCGCCACCGGCATGGCCGAGGGCACCGACACGGTGCGCGCGCCCGGCGACGCGGAGGAGATGGAGAAGGGAGAGATCGCAGGCGCCGCCGCCGGTGCCGACGGCGACTCCGCCGCGCCCCAGCCGGTGGAGCCCACCTGGGCTTTCTGGATCGGCAACGGCAACCCGCAGGAGGATTCCGCCGGCCGGGGGAACACCGTCCACACCTTCTCCACCGTCGACGACTTCTTGAGGTCTTTTCTTCCCCCACCCTCACCTCCTCCCAAACCCTCGTTAGTCCCCAATCTGTTGGTTCCTTGTCAATGATGTATGATGACTGTAAATTTAGATTTAGATGCCCTGCGAGCAGCTCGCCTTAATCCAACACAAGACTGCTGATCTGATGCTCGAGTCTAGGACTAAAATGCTCTCTGGCTCTAGTTTGTGACCAGATTTCAGCCTCCCGCAAACAGGGATGTCTGAAAATCGACCAGTTATTTTAATTAAGCTGAACTGAGTACTGTCCATTGACTGACTCCCTGGGTTATCTTCTACCAGATGATAATGTCTGTCATTACTCACAGTGCGGTTTGTTTCAGGGTAAAAAATTCTGCTTCAGAAATCTGGTTATGTTTGCTTTAATAATTTGTTCCATTCTTTACTGTATTTCCACCTTTTGCGTTTACTTCATATATCCCTTTGGCTAACAATTGAGTTGGGTGGTCTTTCAGCCTTTACAATAATATCCTCCACCCTAGTAAATTGGGTGTGGGAGCTGACCTCCATTGCTTCAAGAATAAGATTGAGCCGAAATGCGAAGGCCCCATATGTGCTAATGGAGGTGCATGGACCATCAGTTGTGGCGAAGGGAAATCGCAGCCATTGTGGTTGGATACAGTAAGCATCTTTCGCATCATTCGTTTTATACAATTACTGTTTCTGTAAATCCATCCTGACTCCTTTTGACAAATATCATGTTTAGCTACTGGCATTGATTGGTGGACAATTCGAATATGGTAATGAAATTTGTGGAGCGGTCCTTAGCGTGTGTGGGAAGCAGGAAACAATAGCTATATGGATTAAAGATGCTACTAACGAAGCTGCTCAGGTAAAAGTCCTGTAGTGCATACTATGAAATTGTTTGTTTCATTTCAGGCAACAGCCACGTGGTATGCTATATCATAGACTGAAAGTTTGTCAAATACTACACCTTCCGTCTTAAAATTAGTGTCTCAAGCTTAGTACAACTTTGTACTGAAGTTAGTACAAAGTTGAGCCACTTATTTTGGGACGGAGGGAGTATAAGATAGTATAATACTGTGATCCTGGTATATAAACAAGGATGACATGGCTGTACCTGTATGGAGCCTAGTACAGTTGTGCTTGTGCCAAATGTCATTGTGTAACTTGAAATGCTCTTATATGGTTATATGAAGAGTTCAACGCAATTGAAGAAACTTATATTCCTCGAAAGACATAGCGGTACTTTGAGTGGCAGAACATTGTCGAAGAAACTTAAACCTCAAAGGATTGACATCTTTGGTTATAGTATGCATCTATGTTTGTGGTTTCCAACCTAAATTGTCCTAGGTAAAGGTTTCATTATTTCAACCAAAATAGCGTGTTGTCTTGTATGGTTGGGATTATTTTAACTTCTTTTTCTAATGAAATTGCTACATTTATTCGTTTCTTGGCGCATTGTTTTGAAGTATGTTTATGTTAAATCCTTGTGTAAGCATTTGGTTTTCCTTTTTGTTTAGCATTTTTCGTAGTTCTTACAATTGTGCTGCAACAGTATCCTAAAATCTGATAATCTCATGGCATTTTTATACTCGATTGAATGATGCAACC